TCTATGTTATGTTCATGTTTATGTTCATAAACTTTTTATTTAATAAAATATGTTTTCATAGTTTGTGTTGTCCCTTATTATCAATGCAAAATGGTCACTAACTAAAGAGGATTTATGCTGATATTGCCCAAAAACCTTATTTTGTTCAGGCGTTTCCAAACTTTTGGAGGGCAGTGTATATATATATATATATATATATGTATATATAATGCAGATTTCTTCATTCATTCATTCATTCATTCATTTTCAGTAACCTCTTTATCCTAGTCAGGATCGTGGTGGATCCAGAGTCTATGCCAGGAACCCTGGGCGTGAGGTGGGAATATGCCCCAGATACGTACATACGTTCATACACTTCACGCCTACGTGCAATTTAGTGTAGCTAGTCTACCTTGTGCCCCGTTTTTGGGAGGTGGGAGGAAACTGGAGACCCTGGACGAAACCTCCACAAACACACGGAAAACATGCAATGCAATGCTCCGTACAGACAATTACCCTTTGCCTCGTGCCACCATCCACGTGGATGACATTTTAGAAGAAATATTATCAGGATTGTGTTTTAACTATAGGGAATGTATTGTCCAAACACTGGCACAAGCAGCACAAAATTATAATTATAATATGATTTCTTTTTCTTCACATATTTTTCAGTCATATCCTAACCATGACAGGTCTTATAAGAAGCCAGGAGAAGCCATTTAACAATATCCCACATAAATGCCTGAACTAATAACAAAAAATATTCTTCTTTTTTATTCTAATCTCTGTGTATTTCATTTTAGGGTCTGTTGATGCCCACGAATGGATTTGTCCATCTTTTTTTTTTTTAAATCAAATATTAATAGACTACTTATTATGGATAGGGCTTGGCTCCACTCCTGCAGGCTCATTGCTAGCAGTTACACAGCTTTATACACTCCAGGTGATGCAATTTGGAGCCTGTTTTTTTTTTTTTTTTACTGAAATATTCATATTGAATTTCTTACAAGAAAGTGATAAATATATTTATATGCATTAGCTTTTGGTAGAAGTGTAACCAAGACAGGAGCAAAAACACTCACCCTTTATTTGATCATTTCACAACTTATTAATATGTGCACTGTTTCTGTGTTGCCTTAATCAGCAAGTAATATCGGCTATGTACAATTTTGAATGATTTTCATATTAATATTTATAAGTAGCATGCGATCTTCCAAGATGTAATTTGTAATAAAAATGAGTTGACTTCTTTTTTAAAAAAAGTTTGAACTTCTTTCATCTGTTTTCACTTTGGTTAGCATTACCCACAATGCCATTCAACCACCTTCTGATAGTGGTGCCAGTGGGATTTAGCCCTCGCTTGATCTCTGCTTAAAGAGAGCGACGGAGCGGCACTTTAGTCCTTTAGCCTGTCCAGCTCTCACATCTCCTCATCTGTACACTCTGCTCAAACAGATCAGCTTCCAAACTTTCATGCTAATACCACCGTCAATGCCATCACGCTCGCCAACACGTAGATCGTGACTAGATGCCCTAGCTCTAGCAGAGGTCGAGAAAAGAAGCTCTTGCTGGTGAAGTACTGAACCACAGTTAGGATTATATTTCAAACATAGAAAGAAATGAAGCTGATTGTGACAATAGCTAATTTATATTACAGCTCATGCTTTGGCTTCACACAGTGACTCTGTGAGAGTGAAACACACACACACACACACACACACACACACACACACACACACACACACAAAACTACAAGGCACAGCAACCCACAAATGCAAGCATCAGTCTAATGAGCGAGACCTACACAAAAAATGACAAAGCATCAGTCCAAGATCCTAACAGAACACTCTCGATGCATAAAGTCGGACTCGTACAGTTGCTTCAAAATAAACTCCCGGAACTTTTCAACCAAAAACTTTTGTTTTTCGAGAATTACACAAGAGATTCTCATCAAACAGTCATTCGCTAAATTGGGACAGTGTGTCTGAGGTGCGAAAGTTCATCGCTCTGTGTGGGTGCAAAGATGAATCAGGAAGCAGAGACAGGGCTACCGTGGGATTTTAATGCTGTCTTCGTGCCAAATAATGGAGTGGTTTTTCAAAAACAAGCAATTAACCTCTTAAACTCTTGGCTCATTATTTAGTTGTTAATTTTGAAGCGTATTATTCAGTAACTGCTATGAATTCTTCGGTAACCAAAGTAAACTAGGAATGTGAGGGATTTAAGGTTAGTTAATTCATCTAAAGTGTATTTTATCATAATTTATTACCTATTATACTTTTATATTGTTATTATTAGTAGTAATAGCATTATATAGTAGTAGTATTATCACACACACACAAACACACACACAAAACCCCTTGTATTTCCTGTAATGTTTCTAAACGCAATCCCCTTTGCTTTCTTCGTGTTTTCTTTCTTTTGTTGTATACAGTCAAACGTGAATTGACACAGCAGCCAAGAATTTAACACGCTTATGCAGAGTTAGATAGAATACAGTTTGTGTGGCAGATGATGGATTTCTATCTGAAAAGTCCTGCCTCTCTTGAAACTTTGTGTACTACACTCAAATTTAAGTACATCTATAATTATTATGGGACAGCATGATGGTTCAGTGAGTTGTCTTGCGTCTTCGCAGCTCCAGAGTCAATCCTGAGCTCAGGTTACTGTTTGTGTGGAGTTTCTTATGCGCTCCCCATGTCCATGTGGGTTGCCTCCAGGTTTCCCTCTACCTCCCAAAAACATGCCGGTATGTGGATTGGCTACATTAAATTGCCCCTATTTGTGAAATTGGGAAAGCGTGGTGCCCTGTGACGGACTGGTGTCCCATTCATGGTGTATTCCCGCCTCATGTGCAGCATTCCCGGGATAGGTTCCCTGACAAGGATGAAGCACTTCCTTAAAGATGAGTAAATGAAGTAGTAAAATTATTACTTTAAGAACAGTCAAAAAAATCAGACTGGTATTTCTGACATTTTCCCATAATGCCTTTCTGGCCAGTCCAGGCACGTAGGATTAAGTATGCATGTGTGTGTGTGTGTGTTTGAGACAGCACTAAGGCTTGCAGCACTAACTTTATTACAAGACCATTAAAATCCTCCCATTCTGTACGAGTATCTACTGAACTGCTGCGGCAAGAAGGCAAGAAAAGTGAAGCTCCTCTAATGAGGGAAGATTCCACTTTCAAAAGATCCTCGAGTCCCTGATCCATAATTACAGTCTTGTGTGTTGGCAAAAACACATAATTATATGAATTTGATCAGTGCTAATTAAACCATAGGGAAATAACCCAAAGAGAGCTTTGTTGGATGGTGGAAGAGTAATACAGGTTTTACTGAAAG